AAGGAAACGATAACGTACGACTGGGAGAGGGATTTTTTTAATATTTGATTTGATTTTAAAATCTAACATTTACCGTAGAAGGTTTAAAAAAAGGTCCGATTTCTACTTTACAAGGAAAGAAACGCAGGCAGCCGCACACTGACTTCACGATAATAAAAGTACAGACAACCACTACACGAAACGAAACAATGGCTGGAAGTTACAGAACGTTGTAATTTATTACAGGCATTTGGTGCTGAGAAGTTCAGGTTGTACTTTGGGGGAGAATATACTACAGAGATGATGAATTTCTACGTTCTTCTTTCTTTTGTGTTTAAAAAAACACACTACCAAAAATATGACTGACAGCCAGATCATCCAATGGAAACCAAGTCTCTTCACATCATTTTTTGATGACGTTCTCCTACGACATTACCTCATGTCCTGATGCTCTTACGTCTACATATACCATTATTCATGTCTAAATATTAGTGCAGGTAAACAATAGCTTTTTAACTGTGATTAATCATGTGATTTCCTGTAATTAATTGAACTGTTATGGATTTAAAAAACCCAAAACTTTAAGCCTGTATATTGCTGACTACTGCTGTACGAACAAACAGGGAAAAAAAGAATTTCACATAAGCAATTGAAACTCAAATCATAATAATCAATATATATAAATAAATAAAATAATCATAATAATCAATATATATAAATAAATAAAATAATCATAATAATCAATATATATAAATAAATAAAATAATCATAATAATCAATATATATAAATAAATAATAATAATCACATTTTTAATCAAATGCATAATGCTCAATTTAAAAAAAAATCTGTTCAAATTCAGCGTTAAGGTACTAATGAAAAAACTATCGTTTAACTCATAGTCATAGTAAAAACTGCCCGGATGTTCCGATTTCATCTTCTTTTTCTCTTCTTTTCACTCAAATTTAAAAAAAATTAACGTCATCACCCGCTGGATTTTTTGTTTTTACACCTTACACCCAGCCCAATAGATAATTTAAATAAATAAATAAAATAATCATAATAATAAATATCTAATATTCTTGTACTTTTTTTGCATGAAAACAAAGGGGAAAAAAACATGGAGAACATCTGTGACCACATTCCCACAGCAGAGATCTAACAGAGAGTAACAGTGATCCCTCTGGTGGGTTTGAACGAGCACAGAGTCCAGGCCACAGTGTTAGTTTCCTGAATCAGGTTTCACATAATGGCCATTATGTGTAAAAATAGTTACTGGAATCCACTCTAAATTAACTTACCCATGGGAGGAAAAAAAAAAAACAACGAACATCTGTGACCACATTCACACAGCAGAGATCTAACAGAGAGTAACAGTGATCCCTCTGGTGGGTTTGAACGAGCACAGAGTCCAGGCCACAGTGTTAGTTTCCTGAATCAGGTTTCACATAATGGCCATTATGTGTAAAAATAGTTACTGGAATCCACTCTAAATTAACTTACCCATGGGAGGAAAAAAAAAAAACAACAACTCAGAGCCGAAAAAGTCAATGATCCTCAGTCGGACGGAGGATTGAGTTCAGCTGAATGAATGTCACGACATCAGTCGTGGCTACAGTGATGGTACGGGGGGGAAAAACAAACGGAATTATCATTTCTTGCATTAATTGCAAATGACCAAATATCCCATGATAAACTCAATCTATAGGTTACAGAACAGGGGTGTCAAACATATGGCCTGTGGGCCAAAACTAGCCCGCTAGGGGGTTCAATCCGTCCCACTTTTGTCCCAATTTTGAAAATGAAAAAATGCACAACTGTTTTTTGTTGTTGATGTTTTGTCAGGATATTGTGCATTGAATATGAATATGTTCTAATGTTTTGATACCACACAAAATGACTTGGCGGGCCACCTTTGGCCCGCGGGCCTTGAGTTTGACACGTGTTGTATAGGGTTGTGTGTGTTTTTGACTATGGGAGAAAAATAGTACCAATAGAAAACCAACCCATAAACGTGGAGAACATGAAAACTTCAGACAGACTTGAAGCAGTGACCTTCCCTTCTGTAAGGCAACAGCACTAACCACCCCACCACCGTGTGGCCCATGGGATCAACCCACCATGTTTCAAACCCAGGCTTTTAAATCCATGTCTGAAACACTAATGTAAACAAATAAATAAAAATATAAAGAGACGGGGTTCATTATGGAGTTTATTAAAGGTAGCAAAACATACAATGAAAGTAGGCA